TAACAACTGAAGCCAAGTTTCACTGGATGTTAATTATCAGGATGCTTGTTAACACAAACATATATCCAATATATGAATAATGAAAAACTTCGGCTGAATGCCTCACCCATATATTCAGGACACCTGAGGCAGATCTCTCGAAGGTATGTATTTGATGTCATGTCGAAGGTGCACAGCTTCAGCTCAGTGCCCAGACCCTCTATGTCCAAATGGAGCACTGTGACCTCCTGATCACCAGACAGGCGGCACAACTGAACGGAGAACTATAGAGGAACAAAGAGGACACAGAGAAAAAGAACAAGAATGAAGGAAAACGATATCATGATTATGGAAATGAGAAAGTTAAAAAGGTAGGGAGAGGAGGAGGAATAAAAATAAATTACTTTTAAAGAGAATGAAAAATAAATAAATAAGTAAAACCAAGCAACAAAGGAATTGAATCCAATACAATATGGATATCAAATATTGAATATTAAAAATGACGAAAGACTTAAAAAATACTCTCTGTACCTCACTTATTTCAAACTTCATGATGAAGTCCGTCATATTCTTTGGAGCGTCGTCCCTGAACACACTTTTTCTTTTGTTTAGGTCTGCATAGCGCAGTGGCATGGGATTGTCTGGAAAGAACGATTTATCACCAACAGGAGAGCTGGGAGCATCAAAGAACAGATCTTCCTCTGACCCTGAGCAGTGACAAACACACACACAATGATTCATCTGTCAAACTGTAGGTACACACACAGACTGTTACCATGTGTTAAGTAAGCATCAAGATCTGTTTCTCACCCAAAGATGTGATGCTGATGCTTTCACATGACTCAAAGATGAGTGAGGAGCGCTGGTCAGCTAAGTTCAGAGGTCTTCTGGGAGTGAGCTGGGGTGTGAACGACGACTTCGGCTGAGGAGGAAATAAAATCAAAACGTGAGCGATACCAATAAACAGCTTATTAACTCAGTGAATGTATTAAAATCAGACAATGTTAAAGTACTGTCTTCATCACTTTATATTCATCTTATTTAATTACCACAGAGAAAAACAACAACAACAAATAATCAAAAACAAACTGTGGAAGACATTTTTATTTTATTCCTTGATTTTGGCCACAACAGTTCCGTTTTTT